TTTGAGACCAGCCTGGCCAACATGGTGAAACCCCATCTCTACCAAAAATAGAAAAATTAGCTGGGTGTGGTGGCATGTGCCTGTAATCCCAGCTACTTAGGAAGCTGAGGCAGGAGAATCGCTTGAACCCAAGAGGTGGAGGTTGCAGTGAGCTGATGGTGCCACTGCACTCCAGCCTGGGTGATAGAGCAACACTCTGTCTCCAAAAAAGAAAGAAAGAGAGAGAGAGAGGGAGGGAGGGAGGGAAAGGAAGGTTGGAAAGAAAGGAAGAAAGGCAGGCAAAAGCCCCAGACAGGCCATCCTGCACCCTTCATGCACCCAACCTGAACCAAACACCAGCATGACCCGGCTCTGAATGCACAGCAGATGGAGGTTTGCTGGGCAGAGATGCTGGGCTGACCTGGATGCTGCCTTTGGTGATACCCTAAACAAAAGGGGCCAGTCCCACAGTAAGGAAGGAGACCACTACTCCTCCTGCTGCCCTCCTCCCCCAACCTTGCCTAGTTTACAAGACAGGAGGAAAGAGAGAAAGCAAAATGTTAGGGAAAAAAAAATACAGAAGTAAGATAAATAGCCAGAAGACCCTGGCGCCACCACCCGGCCCTGGTAGTTAAAAAAAGTAATAATAATAATATCAACCCCTGACTTAAACTACTTGTGTTATCTGTAAATTCCAGACATTGTAGGAAAAAGCATTCCAAAACTTTCTGTTCTGTTAACTGATGCGTGTAGCCCCCAGTCACACTCCCCACACTTGCTCAAAATATCATGACCCTTTCACATGGACCCCTTAGAGTTGTAAACCTTTAAAAAGGCCAAGTATTTCTTTTTCAGGGAGCTTGGTTATTAAGACGCAAGTCTGCCAATGTTCCCAGCCGAGTAAACCTCTTCCTTCTTTAATCTGGTGCCTGATAAGTTTTGTCTGCAGCTCATCCTGCTACAACAGGACACAGCCCAGAGGTGCCACCTGTGGCTGCCCCATTCCCTCTAATCCCAGCTCCACCCTGCCTGCTCCCGTCCTTCCTCCTGGGGAAACATGGACACGCTCAGGTGAACCCCAGCTTCTCATGCCTGAACTGGGGAAACTGAAGCCCCATGGGACCAGGGGCACCACTGGGCATCAAGGGAGGAAAGTTGAGCCCAGGGGTGATCTGGGAACTGGAAGGGAAAACGTGGGATCCAGGCAGGCATTGGGGCCTGATAGAGCAGAAGTGAGGAGTGGGTCCCAGGAGCTGCAAACTCAGTGCCTCCAGGACCCGTTTGGATAAAATAAATGGGTAGAACTGGAATAAAACAAAGTGGGCGTGAGCTGTGGCCAACTGGAAAATGCTCGTTGCAACCACAGCATTCCATTAAAAAAGCAAAAGGAACCTGCCTGGCTGAGTCTTAAGCTCCCCCTGAACCCAGAAATGGGTTAGCCTTCCAGGAACCTCCGGATCTGAGAGCTGGGGAGGGCACTCCATTACCGGGGGAAGAAGGAATGGATCTTGGGCACTCGAGGGCAACACACGCCCTCCGTGCAGGGAAATGGATTTCCAGGCAGGGGAGACGCATGGGCAGAGGCCCAGAGGTAGGAAACGGCTCAGATTGTCTACTGTAAGATTTGAGGCTGTGATCAGGAGGTGACTAGGAGATGGGCTGGGTCCAGACCACAAAATGGTAGGTCAGAGGATTTGGACTCTGTCCCAGGAGTGAGCTGGAAATCAAACTGGAAAATCAGATAAGCTTATTTGCAGCTTCAATCCAGTCTGTTGCAGAAGGATGCATTTGAGGGGGCTAGAGAGGCTGCAGGGAGGCCAGGAGGAGCTGTGGAAGAGGACTTGAGCGTGGGTCATGGCCATGGGGTTTGGAGAGAAGTGATATAGCATCTTCAGAGCCTCAGAAGGCAAGGGGAGTCCGATGGCTCAAGACAGTTGGAAGAGCTGGGTGTGACTAAGGGAGTGGGGAAATGGGGCGTGCATGGCCCATGAGGACTCTCATGCATCACCTCCCAGTCCCTTGTCCATCTGGCTACGCTTCCTCTTTGCCTGGTCAGCCTAGGACCAAGCTGGGATCATTTTCCCCAGGATGCCCCACACCCAGCGGCAAATGTGCCCATCCTAGCAGTTTGTTTAATGAAAATGATGTGCTGTTTTGAGTACATGATGTGCCAGCAATGCTGGCTACTGCATGAGATGGGAACTAGCAGGGAGCACCTTCATTCAAGGTGTGCAGGTCCCCTTCCCTCAGTTAATGCTCGTGGGGGTGGGCGTTAGCCTCTCCACTTACCCAAGAGGAAACTGAGGCTTTATGAAGTTAAGAGAGCTGCTTAGAGTCACTTATCAATAAAGTGGTGGAGGCCAGGCACGGTGGCTCACACCTGTAATCCCAGCACTTTGGGAGGCTGAGGCAGGAGGATCACTTGAGCCCAGGAGTTCAAGACCAGCCTGGGCAACACAGTGAGACTCCATTTCTATTTTTAAAAAAATTATCCAGCTGTGGTGGTGCACACCTATAGTCCCAGCTACTCAGGAGGCTGAGGTCTCCTTAAGCCTGAGGATCGCTTAAGCCTGGGCAGTTGAGGCTGCAGTGAGCTGTGATTGCACCACTGCACTCCAGACTGGGTGACAGAGGCCCTGTCTCAAACAAAATAAATAAATAAATAAAATATATAAAGTGGTGGAGCAGTTTGAATTGTGTCATTCACTCATTCAATATTTAACTGAGCATCTACTATGTGCCAGGTACTATTCTAGACAACGGACACACAACGAGTAAACGGATAAAAATCTCTGTCCTCGGGGAGTCTGTATGTTGGGGTTGGGGTGGGAGCTGGGAAGAATAGACAATGAAAAAATACTTAAGGAAAATATGCAGACACCAATTGTCAACTCCTTCATGGCCACCAGAGGGCACTGCAACCACGCGACCCTCCGTTCCTCTCTAATTCCAGCTCCCTTTCCGGATTCCAAAGACAATAGCCAGAGAGGCTATGAATACCCTGCATAGCATCTACTTAAGAACGAATGCGAGGAGGCATTGGCAGCAATTTTTCCTCCACCCATTTTTCCAGCCTCATCCCCTCATCAGACCCCCATCCAACTGCCCAGGGTACCCCAGTGACTTTTCAAAGCCCCATGTACTCCAGATTCACCAGCGACTCACATTCACTCCCAACCACCCATCCCCTCCCAAATACTGTAATACTGTCTGGGTTACCCACCAACCCCATCCATCCGCTCAGCTGATGCCTGGGCTCCTCCTCACCCACCCACCCGCGCCCCTTCCACCTGCTGTCCTGCCCACCTGAAACTGGCCAAATTGTCCCACAGTTTTTGTGGTTTTTTTGGGATAAACACAGAAATTGACCTTCCTGGTCCTAAAGCTTGAAACTTAAATTTGCCTTATCTGAGTTCCTTCCCCAGGAAACTGACCTTCAGGCCTCCTAGATATCATCAAGGAACTGAAGCTCCTTTTCTTTACCCCCTTCTAATTCCTGTTTTTCCGCACGCAGCTACATTTGCTCCCCCCTGTATAAACCCCCAACTGGAGTTTGTTGGAGAGATGGATTTGAGACTTAATCTCCTGTCTCCTTGGCTGATGTCACCTGAATAAAGCCTTCTTTCCTGGCAATACTCATTGTCCCAGGTTGTCCGATCAGCTTTCTGTGTGGTAAGCAACGGGACCTGGACTGAACGCCTGGTGTTTCGGTAATACACCCATCCATCCTGTCCATCCCCAACCATCCTGTCCACCCCCCATCCATCCTGTCCACCCCCGACCCACCCTGTCCACCCCTTGTGCTTCCATCCACTCATCCCTCTTCCCACCCCTCCTCCCACCCACCATCTGATGTTACAGAAGCCCAGAGCTGGGGCACTCAATCTAGAGGTCAAAGATAGCAAGAGGTCAAACCAGACTGACAGTGAGTCGCCTCAGTGGATATGAGTTTTAGTGTGCTGAGGCCATGAAAGGTAAAAGCATTTAAAAACAGCAAGGCCAGGCACGGTGGCTCACGCCTGTAATCCCAGCACTTTGGGAGGCCAAGGCAGGTGGATCACCTGAGGCCAGGAGTTCGAAGCCAGCCTGACCAACATGGTGAAATCCCATCTCTACTAAAAATACAAACTTAGCTGGGCATGGTGGCATGCACCTGTAGTACCAGCTACTGCTACTTGGGAGGCTGAGGCAGGAGAATCGCTTGAACCCGGGAGGCATAGGTTGCAGTGAGCCGAGATCACACCATTGCACTCCAGCCTGGGCAACAAGATCCAAACTCTGTCTCAAAAAAACAAAAACAGGCCGGGCACGATGGCTCACGCCTGT